TCTCACTATCGATCTCGCTCAACGGGACACCGCGGGACACCTCTCGATCTCACTATTGATCTCACTCAACGGGACACCATAGGACACCACGGGACACCTCGGGACACCACAGCGATCTCACTATCGATCTCACTATCGATCTCACTCAACGGGACACCACGGGACACCTGTCGATCGCACTATCGGTTTCACTATCGATCTCACTCAGCGGGACACCACGGGACAACTCGGGGTACCATATCGATCTCAGTATCGATCTCATTATCGATCTCACTCAACGGGAAACCACGGGACACTTGTCGATCTCACTATCGATCTCACTCAACGGGACACCACGGGACACGTCGGGGCAGCACATCGACCTCACTATCGATCTCACTCAACGGGACGCCACCAGACACCACGGGACACCACAGGACACCACGGGACACGGCGGGACACGGCGATCCACCGCCGGACGGCCAGACGGACGGGGGGAGATTCATTTGGCTTGATTTCGCCCTAGCAACGGCGGACACAACGGGACACCACGGGACACCACGGGACACCGCGGGACACCGCGATCCACCGCGGTCCACCGCCAGACGGACGGACGGACGGACGGACGGGGGAGAATCATTTGTCTTGACGTCGCCCTGGCCACCGCCGGACGGACGGACGGACGGGGGAGAAGCATTTGTCTTCGCCCTAGCAACGGCGGGTTCATTCCTCTCGCACGCCCACGCAGCGTCGCCTCGCCCGCACGCACGACACGAACGAAGCGAAACGATTTCCCGGTTGGGGGTCTCCGCTCCACTGCGATCTCACCCCCTAACCTCCGACTACTACGTAGTACTAGTACTAGTAGTCGTAGTGTTAGTCGTAGTCGTAGCCGTCGTCGTCGTCGTCGTCGTCGTCGTCGTCGTCGGCGTCGGCGTCGTCGTAGTAGTAGTAGTAGTAGTAGTAGTAGTAGTAGTAGTAGTAGTAGTAGTAGTAGTAGTCGCCGTAGTCGTAGCGGAAGCAGTAGTAGTAGTAGTAGTAGAAGTAGTAGTAGTAGGAAGTAGTAGAAGTAAGTAGTAGTAAGTAGTAGTAGTAATAGTGGTAGTAGTGGTAGTATTGTAGTAGTGTAAGGGTAGTAGTGTGGTTGGTGTGATAGTGGTAGTCGGTAGTGTAGTGGTAGTGGGAGTGGTAGTGTAGTGGTAGTGGGGAAAAGTAGGGGTAGGTAGTGGTAGTCGTAGAGTAGTATGCGTATACGTAGTATAGGAGTAGTATTATCTCGTAGTAAGTAGTCGTAGTAAGTACGTAAGTAGTCGTAGTAGCGTAGTAGTCCGTAGTACGCCAGTAGTAAGTAGTAGTAGTAGCAGTCGTAGTAGTAGTAGTGACAGTAGTAGTAGTAGTAGAGTAATAATAGTATAGTAGTGTTGATCATAGCAGTAGCGTATAAGTAGTATAGTATAGTAAAAAGTCGAAGTAGTCCTCGTCGTCGTCGTCGTAGTCAGTTAGTAGTAGTAGTAGTAGTAGTAACAGTAAAGTGAAAGTAGTAGTAGTAGTATAGTGTAAGTAGTAGTATAGTAGTAATAGTAGTAGATAGTAAAGAGTAAGCGGAGTAGTAAGTAAGTAAGTCGTAGTAGTAGTAGTAGTAGTAAGTAGTAGTAGTCGTAGTCGTGTCGTAGTCCGAAGTCGTAGTCGTCAGTCGAAGTAGTAGTAGTAGTAGTAGTAGGTAGCCTAGTCGTATAGATCGAAGTAGTATCGTAGTATATAGTATAGTAGGAGATGTAGTAGTATCGTAGTCGTAGTAGTCAACGACTAACTACTACTACTACTACTACTATCTAACTACTACTACTATACTACTACTACTAAAGACTACGATTTTTTTTACTACTACAGACGACTACTAACTACGAACCGCTACTGGCACTACTACTACAACGACGACGACCACGTAAGTAGTAGTAGTAGTAGTAAGTAGTAGTAGAGTAGTAGTAGTAGTCGTAGTAGTACTACTACTACTACTATTACTACCACTACTATTAGTATTACTACTACTACTACGACTACTACTACGACTACTACGACTACTACTACTACTACTACTACCACTACTACTACTACTACTACTACTACTACTACTACTACTATTACTACTACTACTACTACTACTACTACTACTACTACTACTACTACTACTACTACTACTACTACTACTACAACTACTACTAATACTACCACTACTAATTTCCGAACTACTACTAAAATAGTATTTCGTTTCTAGGGCTACGATTTTGTCCAGATTGTCTGGCCTGCCAGCGGGCGCCAGTCGCTTGGCTTCCCCACTGGGGCTACCACGCCAGGGGGCGGGGGACCGTTTCCTCCCTCTTTCCCCCTCCCTCCGTCCCCTCCCTTCTCCTGCCTCCGTCCCCTCTCCCCTCCTCCCCCTCCGCCGGGCGGTCCCCTGTCCTCGGGCTTGCGGCCACCCCTGTGGGGGGGCATCGCGGCAGCAGCATCTGATTTACGCACT